TTAAAACAATTAAAACTAAGGTAAAAATACATACAAAAACATAAAAATAAAGGGCAGAAAGGAGGGATATCTGAGGGGATGTCAGACAAAAAAAAATATCTTCACCTGCTAGAGGAAGATAGCAACAGAAGGGGATAACTGAGTCTCAGGGTAGAGAGTTTCAGAGTTTTTGTGCCCTGACCAAGAAGGCCCTTCCCCTGGTGGGCACCCATCTAATCTCAGAAGGTGCGGGCATCCGAAGGAGGACTGCAGAAGATGACCAGGGCAGTGGGGAAGCTTGTATGAGAGTAGAAGATGCTTCAGGTGTGCTGATCCCAAGCTATATAGGGCTTCGAAGGTCAACACCAGCACTAAGAATTGGGCTTGGAAGCTAATTGGTAGATGGACCAAGGCTGGAGTTATATGACCCCTGTGTCCTACTTCTGTCAACATCCTGGTTTTAGCATTTTGCATTATGCACTAGTTGAAACTTCTGAACACCTTTCAAGGGCCGCCCCACGTAGAGGGCATTGCTGTAGTCTAATCTAGATATAATGGGGGAATGGACCATAGTGGCCTTTCTGCCCAGAAAGGGCTGTAGCTGTCTAACCAGTCAAAGCAGGTAAAAGTCACTCCTGGCCACAGCTGCCACCTGCTTGTCCAACAGTAGACTTGGGTCCAAGAGCACTTCCAAACTGCAGACTTACAGACAGAGCTGAGTGTCATCCACATACTGATGATAACCCAGTCCAAATTTCTAGATGACCTCACTCAGCAGTTTCATGTGGATGTTTAAAAGCATAGAAGACAAGATGGAGCTTTGTAGGACCCCAAAGGTCCATGGGCTTGAGCAGCAGTTCCCCAGCACTCACTTCTGAAACCTGTCTTCTAGGAGGACTGGAACCACTGCAAAGCTGAGGTCCATGGGAAACAACAAAGTTGAACTCTTTCTGTGGGCATTCCGGCACAGGCTATTAACTGGGATGACCAAAGCTTTTTCAGTCCCATAACCAGGCCTATAACCAGATTAGAAGGTTCAAAACAATCAGCTTCATCCAGCAATGCTTGAAGTTGGACAGCCACCACCAGTTCAGTCATCTTGCTCAAGAATGGAGTATTAGAGACTGGTCAATAGTTGTTGAAATCCCCTGGGTCCATGATAGGCTTCTTTAGTAATAGACACACAACAGCCTGTTTCAAGGCTGGGGTGACCGCTGCCTTTTTCAAGGAGGCATTCACTATCTCTTGGTCTCAGTCATCCAGCCCCTCCTAGCTGATTTAAGTAGCCAGGAAGGGCAAGGGTCATACAAGCAGGGTCAAAACCTTCAAGGACCCTGTCTATATCCTCAAACTGAATAAGCTGAAAAGTATCCCAAATAACTGGACAAGTTGGCACTATGTGACCGTCTCACTGCTAATGCATTGTTTAAGTTGATGCAGATGTGAGACGTTCCATCTGCTAAGTGTTGAGCAAAGCAGTCACAGCAGGTTACAACCAGTCTATCTTTTGCAGGCCAGATCCTAGCAGGCCTCTGACTGACTGGAACAGCTTTGCTAGGCTAAACTGTGCAGATGCAGTGGTGGTGGAAAAGTGCTGTTTCTTTACCACCATCACTGCCACGAAATATATTTTAAAATTAGCCTTCACCTGTGTCTTATTGGATTTGGCCTGAGTATCCCTCTGCTATTGCTCTAGCTGTTTCCCTTGTCTTTTCATTGCCTGCAGTCCCTCAGAAATCAAGGGACTCTCTGGGCTCCAATACCTGAGACTCTGTGCCAGGGAGTGATCATGTCAACTGGCCAGGTCATTTCATCATTCCAGAAGTCAGCCAAGGTATTGATAGGAGCAACAGGAAAATTGCCATGAGCTGTCAGAAAACCATTTGGATCCATCAGAATCCAGGGAGGATCATTTTAATAGAACCTCACTCCACACACAGTCTTGTATTCCCTGTAAATCTAAACTCAGGCAAATAAGGATTATCCATGATAAAGGAGCCATCATCTTTGCCTTCAAATCACATTCATCCAACCCAAAATAGGACAGTATATCAAGAGTGTGACCTGCACAATGTGTAGGACAATTATCTGAGACAGGCCCATGGTTGTCACGGAGGCAATGAAATTCTGAGCTGCTTCCTTGGTATGAATGTTGAAGTTCCCCAGGACAACGATCCTAGGGGTTTTGAACACCCCCTGGGGGGGGGGGGTTGAACACATCACAAGATTACCTCTGTCAGCTCAAGCAGGGAGGGGAGCCTGTTAGGCAATGTGGTGGGTGATATACTAACAGAATCCCAAATCTCTGAATACTGATATTAGGTACGCAGCCGCAAAACTGGAAGTGTCCTGGATGGGGTACTGTGTGGAGGATGGGTACTGAGTTTTTTACACTATAATGACACTGTTTTCTGCACCCACCTGACCTATGCTGATGTATCACCAGATGTACTGGGGGACACAATGGGGAGGGGATAGCCCCTCCCCCAGCCAAGTCTCAGTGATACATGCCTGGTCAGCCCTTTCACCCAGAATTAAATCCTGGGTGGCTGCTGTTTTTCCTGTGCCTGACCAGGCATTTAACAGCAGGATTTTAAAGCCTGGCAAGTTGTTGATATGGTTACCAACATCACCTTGACTGGAAGAAGAGCTAGAAACTGCAATAATATACAGATGTCTCTTGTCCCTTCCCCTTACTGGCCAGCTTTTCACCCACCTACTTCACACACTAAGAATTGTGGTACCATAGTCTGCTTGCAGATGATGAAAGTACGAGTGTAGGAATTTAACAATGAGAGCCCCATTAATTCTTTCCCTTTGCAATATAGAAAAACATGCTGTGTATCAAATAAGAACCCAGGCAGTGTAAATGGACAAAAGGGTTTGTGTGTAGCTTTTAAGGCCAGAGAAAGAAATCTTGGTCAAAAGAAAAACCTGATTTTTCAGGACATTCACAGATCTGTTGTGTTGAAATGCTGGCCTTAGAATTTTAAGAGAGGAACATAACAGGTCATATTCTAACATTGCTGTTTTGCTTTCTGCAGTATGGTGGGTTTTTATTGGTCTGAGTAACAATTCTGCCAAGTCCTTAAAATTTTTTTTGAATGTATTCACTGTTGCCTTATTTGGCTTTTTTGATGTTGAGTATTGCATATACGCTCTTCTGCTGTTGCTATGCAACTGTTAAATCTAATATTTAATGTTAATAAAAATCAAGTGGTGTTACCATTGGTGAGAACAATGAACTGAGCAAGGTAGGATTGCACTGTCCAGGCTCTGTAGCCAGCTTTGCAGGCATTGTGATGGCACTGTTGTGTGTGTGGCAAACTCATTGGCAATGTTATAAGTAATGTAAAAGGTTAAACATTTTTTAGGAGTCAGCTCTGTGCAAAGCTGAAATTTTCTATGTCTAAGTGCCAATGTGTTGGGAGCTAACCATGCATGCAACAGAGCTCAGATTTTTATTTATTTATTTAGCAAAGAAATCCACTGGGGAGCAGGTTGCTTCTCCAGTCCAAATTCCCCATGTGTGATGTGGCTTTTATTGATTTTTATTGGGTTTTGTGTTTTTTTAAAGACAAACCTAGTGTTTGGTTCAGTGTCACACATCTCTGTTGGATGCATAGCAGGCCCCTTAGATGAATAGGCAACCAGGTTTCTGGGATTTCGAAACCCATCCACCCCCAGATGTGAGGCTTTTCCATCCCTGATTGTGCCTTAGTTTTCTCAACATTTCCCATAAGGATTATCAGAATTTTTCTAGAATTAGGAGCGGGACCTCTGGCCATGATGCCAGCCTGAATGTCAAAATGCTGTTGTGTGCTTGGATTCATCATGTTTACTTGTGTAAACATTGCTCTTGCAGTTCCCTATTTTTCTGCTCTCTGTATTCTTTGTCTCTCTCCTTTCTCTTCTGCATTTGTGCATGTCCATAATAGTTCTGTCATTAGTTAATCAGCATTGATCCAAATAACAAATAAGCTTTGTGTCACCTTAAAGAATAGCAAATTTATTGGGGCATAAGATTTCATATGCCAGAGACTACTTTGGAATTTATCTGTGCTGCTGTTGTCAGTTGCATTCTGTAGTATCCCTTTTAACAACTAAAGGTTAAACGATGGTGCTTTTGGAGTTGTGAATCTTGTAGGAAATAATTATAATGCTCATAAGGTGCTTTATGAGTCTTGTTCATGCCTAATAAATGAAAGAACGGCTTTTCCTACATAGAGCTGTAAGCCTTACTGGTGGAAACAGCTGCTGTACATAGTCTGTATCATGTAAGATTACAGATATTTCTGGACCACACTTTCATGTATACTTCTCTCCTGTTCTTGCTCAATTTCAGATATTTTACAAAAGATAAATATTAGAAAACATAGCCCAGTACTTTTGCATTTTTCCATATATTCTGAGTAATGGGTAACTTGTGCTGCCATATTGTTAGCAGCAAGTCATGATGTAGATTAACATTGAATTTACATTTACAAATAGTGGCAATAATTGAGGGGAGGTGTAATCTTTTAAAATAGAACTCTCCAGCTCTCTTTAAAAAAATCATCTCAGTAGTGATCGAGCTTACACAATGCACGCACATTGTATTATGCTGCTTAGTTGTCCTTAGTAGTTTTTCCTTTTGTAAGAAATTCCAAGGTTTGAAGGTGGAAGAGAGCTACAGTATGGGGCAAATATATACATTTTTGAGTTGCTAGCTTAAAATGAGCTGGGTTTATTTGGAAAAAAAACGTTTTAAAAGAATCACATTGACTCAAGCCTTTTCCATTTCTGCTAAATTATTTTGCTTAATGATCACCATTGCTCTTTGACTCTGTAAAAATATTGTATTTAAATGGAACTTAGCCCTTTTTTCAACTTAATTATCACAGTTGACTGGTAGTTCTTAAAAATACAATGTAAAAGCATGCTCAGCTTTGTTCTAGGAGCAGATACATATAGATCTTAATTTTCTGGCAGAAGCATGCATAATCTACAAAACTAACCATTTTTTCTTTGCTTTTAGGATTTGAAAGTATTCTAGAAGGGCTGTTTGGACCTGAATTATTAAAAGATCTCAGTTTTTTCAAAGGTATTAATTTTTTTTGCCTTGATCTGCATTTCTAATGACAGAATCAACCTCTGCTCTGCCTCTAGAAAACGTATGTTACCTTGGTGATTTGTGCTTTTTCCCTCCCCCCAGGCAGTGCTCACAGTTAGTTTCATATTGGCTAAAATTACTAATGAGCGTGCCTTCATCTCTGTATAGCTGGCAGTAGTTTTGGCGTTGCTTAGAAAAATCAGCTTTGTGTGTAGGCGAAAATTATACTTTTGTAACATTGTGGAAATTAAAGCATGATAGCATTCAAACCTTCCTGTCCTAAATTGTGGCAAAAGACTTATAAAACGGGTAATGAATTGGGGAAATGCTTTTATTTGGCTGTAAGTGAAATATAGTTTTAATGGATATGAAGTAACTTGCTCTCGTCTCTTATTCACAGACTTTGAGCCTGAAGGTGTCTCTGATTGGTCTTTTGATGAAAATTGTCTTTTCTGCTGTTTGAGAAGAGAGAAAGTGAAGGTAACAATGGATATATGTTCAGTTTTTGCAAGGATTTTTATGGCTTTATTCTTAGCAATGTAGTAGTAATTGGAACAACAGCCTGTACTGTAGTCTGCATTCTTCCCCTTATACCCCAAATAAAATGATATTGGATAAGCAAAAGACCAATTAACTAGGCAGAGGGAGCTTTCACCTTTATTTTGTTCTGTTTTATAATGGTAGAGGGCAGTTAAATTCTTCCTTACACGAGGAGCAAACGGCAACTAATGCCGTTAGTTGCTGCCTGCTATGAGGTTCACTCTGTAGGAACTACAGGTATTTAGGTTGTAACTCTGATTGTCCCACAAAGCCTTATTTCCTATGTTGACACTCAGTGGGGATCTTTTTTTTATTATGCTGGTCATGAGGTTGTTTCATGGGTATACGTGAATATTGCTTGTGATTCTTGAAACAGCTGCTTGTATGTTGGAAGAGTTTAATTTGGTAGGGACCATTTGATCCTTTGTATACTTGTCATTCCTCAATGACAGGCTACTACAGTGACCCACTCAGGACTCCTCCTGAGTTTGGATCTCAGCCAGAGGGGGGGCGGGGAGTGGGTCTACATGAGTATGGTGTCATTCATGGTATTGGAATGCCAGTATGTCTGCCCCCTCCCCCGGCACTGACAGCAACTGTTGTGTGCAGTGGAATAGTTGAGGCAATACACACGAGTTGGTTTAAGTGGCAGAGAGAAATGGTTCCAGCAGTCTGAGGTGGGAGTGGGACTGCCACATCCAAGCTTACCTGTCTGGGGTGCATTGTCTTTGGCCTCTGCCCTGTTAGATTGCTGCCTACACAGAGACCAAAGAGACACAAGGGCAGCAGTAAGTAATATTCAGCACTGACAGCAAAGAGCAAGTGACCGTCAGAGTTCTTGTGGTGTCCTGGCGAGGTCTACTGTGTTGTCCATCATCCCCCCCCCCGCACTTTGGTGGGGGTTCCTTCATGGTGAGTTGCTCCTGTTGGGGGACACAGAGGTAGCACAACCACTGAGTTACACCCATCCCTTGGCAGGGAGCCACAGTAGAACTGTGTTTGTACTGCTTGCTGAGACTGTTCTATGGGAAACTGTTTATGCAAGGCAATAGGTTATGTTGTTCATTGTTCAGATGACATGAGATTTTTGTGTGGATGATTCTGTCTACAGTTACTATGACACCAGGGCTGTGTGAGATGATAGATTACTGAAGAGATCAATGTTGTTCTAAATTCAATGTCCAGATTTACTGATAGCCTTTAATACTGTTATTTGTTATGCTGGGGGCAGACACTAGTCTTTGCAGAGGCTTGAAAGCAGTTCGAATGAGGTTGCTTGCATACTCTTCCACTATTGCTTCTGACAAATAGGTGTTGTTTTTTGTTTACTACTGGATATTGATGCTTCTGTAGAAGGGAACCTGTTTTTAAGAAAGAGGGTGTTTTTTTTTTTACACAAACTTGTTTTGTTTACTGCAGTGTTAATTTCTATTAGGAAAGGTTACGATTTTCCCAGCAGGCAAATGCATAGGTATATTTAGTGCAGCAGCTTGCTGCTTCATCTCTAATACAATAAATGTACTGAATGATGAATAAAATTATTTTTATATTTCATAAATATACCTAAAGTACAATTTTGTGCATAAACAATATTATGCATAACTTAGTTAATGACCTTAAAGTGAATTAAGATATTGTAACAAAGTAAGTATTGTATATGTTTCAAATGGGTCCCTCAGTACAAAGTTTCTGGAAAACATGTTCTCCCTCTGAGAGGAAGACATCTTGCTGGGTGTTTCCCACCCTATCCTTAGGGAGGCAGAAACTAAACTTCACTTCCTGTCCTCTTGGTGGGACACACCCCTTCAGCTCAGTTTTGTTCCTGCCTCGATAGGGAGAGCAGCACGAAGTTGGCACTCGTGCCTTTGGTTTCATTTTCAATTCTTTCTCCTCCTCTGCCTCTGACTTCTCTCTCCTCTCTTGCCTATGCTGGTTTCTCCTTTACTCTATTCCCTTTCTCCGGCAATCCTCTGCCCATCCGACACCCAGCTGGAGCATGTCGGAACGGGATGGCTCAGATGGCTTCTTTTCGGGGGTAGAGAGAGAGACCACCCCCCCTGAAGAGCCAAACGAACAAAGGAAAAGCCGCGGCTTCTTCCTCAGCCACCGCGAAGAGCCTAACAGTGCCAAAAGAAAAGCGCGCCAAAAAGCGGCCTCCTCCTCCAGAGCACGCAGTGGGCGCCATCTTGGCTACAGCCGCTAAAAGGAGAACCCCTGAAGAACAGGGAGAAGGCTGCGGGGTGGCTTTCGCTGCTTCCATAAGCCAGGCAACAGAGGCTACCAATGTCTCCTACATTCCTAACACCCAAACTGAGCCGGAGTTCCCCAGTCAAGCAACTGATATGCCAGCGGGACTACTCGTGAGTAACCCCGAAAGGGGCGGTAGCGCGATTTTTACACCGGAAATTATGATGGCGTTTAAACAGGCTATGAGAGAGGAAATTACCAACTTCCGTCAGGGTTCCTCCACGGGGGATGAGGGTCAAGGTCCCTCACATTCCTGCCCAGGCCATCTTGCCCAGGGGGACCCAGTCTACCATTGTCCTGAGGAGTATAGACCTCACTGGCCCACCAAGGCTGCTAGAAAGGATTACCTCTCTGCTATGCCTGACTACCATGCCTGGGATCCTTCACAGGCTGAGGATAGTGAGTTGGGAGGTAGGGAGGAAGGAAAATTCCTATCCGATGAGGAGGAGGAAGAGGAGATGGAGGTCCCTGAACCTTCTATGAGGTTTTTCAAGTATGAGGACTATCAATATTTGCTTTAAAAGACCTTGTCTGCCTTAGAGCTACAACCTAAGCCAAAACCAGATGATCCTAGTGGCTCTGATGACTTTAGACCCAGAGGAAGTAAGGATTACTTTCCCAGAACTCCTGGAACACAGAAGGTCTTTCCCTTTCCTGAGTTCTTAGAAAAACAGCTAGTAAAGGAGTGGGGCAAGCCTATGCCCCCCTAATGTTAAGAAATTGTATACTTTACCTGACTTTACTGATAAGCTCTTGCAGGTCCCTCTGGTGGATGCTCCAATAACTGCGCTCCAGACTTCAGGATTGCTCTCGGAGGACGGAGAAGGCATGGTGAGAGACAGCCTGGATAGAAAAGCAGAATTTGCACTGAGAAAAGCCCACGAGGCCACTGCCATGGCCATTAGGGCCTCAGCCACTGTCATTGCGAGAGCTTCCATAGCCTGGTCTAAAAAGATGGTACAACTCATCTCTAACTCTAACAAGCGTCTGGCAGAGGGTGCCAATAGGTTCCTGCAGGCCTCTTCGTTTTCAGCAGATACCACCTTGGATGCCATGATCTTCTCTTCCAGAGCTCTGGCCTCCACAGTAGCAGAAAGAAGAACCGTCTGGCTCTGGGTGCGGCAGGCAGACCTACACACAAAGACCATTGTTACTGCTTACCCTTTTCAGGGTGATCGTTTATTTGGCGATTCTTTAGGCAAGATTCTCATTGAGACTAAAGATAAGAAAAAAGCTATGCCCAAGTCTCTGGACAGACCAGACTACAGGAGCTCCGGAAATTTCTCCTTTCGTGGCCAAAGACCCTCCTACAGATTCAATAGAGATAGTAGAAGGTCTAATTGGGGAACCAACAGACAGAACTTTCGAATAAATCCCCTTCACAAATCGATCGGGCAAGTACTTCTCTCCCAGAGATGACAAATCTGGAAGAGACAACAAAGCTCCCAAAGCATGACTATGCTTCAGCTCCGGTGGGGGGGACGCCTACTTTTGTTCCATCAACAATGGGTTGACTCAAACGCAGACGGTCACGAGTCAAACGCAGGTCACGAGAAGTTACCTTCAAGGGCTACTCCATCGAGCTCCAGACCAATCCACCAGATCGATATGTCCCCTCACTGACTGCCAAAGACCCAACCAAGATGCTCAGAACCATGGACGCTATACAATACCTTTACAACATTCGGGCCATAGAGCCAGTTCCTCCTCCTGCGAAGGAATGCGGAGTGTACTCGATATTCTTCACAGTTCCGAAAAGAAATGGCAGCTGGAGGGCCATCCTGGACTTAAAATTTCTAAACAAGTTTGTGAAACTAAGACATTTCTGGATGGAAACCCTTCGATCCATCATGGAGGCCCTCCAAACGGGGGACTTTTTGACGTCTATCAACCTCACAGAGGCATACCTCCATGTGCCCATTTGCATCAGACACAGATGTTTCCTGAGATTCTGTGTCAGCTGTCAACACTGGCAAATCAGAGCTCTGCCCTTCGACCTCTCTACCGCCCCAAGGGTATTTTCCAAGATGCTCGTATACCCCATTGTCTTGTTACGGGAAAGGGGGTCCATGTCCACCCATACTGGACGATCTACTGATCTGCTCCGAATCCCATCTCAAATCTCTCCGGGACATCAAGGAAACCATCAGTTGCCTGCAGTCTCACGGATTTCTAGTCAATCTGGAGAAAAGCTGTCTGATTTCATCTCAGTCGTTGGAACACCTAGGGGTCATCGTAGACACAACACAGAACTGCCTGTTTCTGCCCAGTTCCAAGGCAGAAAAGATAAATCTGATTTGTCATCAGGTCATCAAGAGCAAGCAATCCTCTCTGATGACTCTCACCAAACCGATGGGCTTATTCATTTCCTGCATCGACATGGTGCCATGGGCCCGCATGCATGTGAGACCTCTCCAACAACTCCTGCAGGTTCATCAGGTCAGGATTATGAGGCGAGAGGATCTTCCCATCAGATTGTCCCATCAGGTGAAGACCAGCCTATCCTGGTAGACCAGCATGCGAAAACTGTGATGTGGTCGGGTGTACCACACCGAAGATTGGAAACAAATTGTCACCGATGCCAGCCTTCAGGGTTGGGGTGCTGTCCTAGACAATGCCCCAGTGCAGGGTGAGTGGTCCAAAGAGGAAAGGAGCTTACCTATCAATCTTTTAGAGCTGAGAGCTATCAGGCT